GCAGGCAAGAAACCCCGGCGGGGGCTGCAGGGTTTAGTGTTTGCATTTGCTCGCGAGTGTGCTGCCTTATTGTCTCGGACAGGCATCCCGACTTTGTCTCAGTCTGTAAGCTCCAAACCCTAAACCCTAAACCCTAAACCCTAAACCCTTATTGGGCATCAGGGCTTTCCGACGCGAAACCCTCGTCGCTCGCCGCCGGCCCCAGAAAGCGCTCGCGGGAGGCGTAGGGTTTAGACTGCGTGTGCAGTCTACAGGCCTAGGGTTTAGGGTTTAGGGTTTAGGGTTTAGGGTTTAGGGTTTAGGGTTTGGGGTTTGCTGCAGGACGCGCTGAAGTGCGCAGGGCTGATAGTTAAGCGGGCCCAAGCAGCAGTTGCTGCTGATGCTGTAGTTGCTGCTGCTAATGATATTGGTTTGCTGCTGAAAAGGGACGGCAGGTGGATCTTAGACAGGGCCCTTCTCTCCCACCTCTAAACCCTAAACCCTAAACCCTAAACCCTAAACCCTAGTGGCCGCCGAGCCCCTCGCGTTGCGCAGCGCGCAGCAGCAGCAAAGCCGCAGCAGCAGCAGCTGCTGCTGCTGCGGCTTTGCTGCTGCTGCGGCTTTGCTGCTGCTGCTGCAGCAGAACTACCAAACTAAACAGCAGCTGGAGCAGCCGCAGCTGTTTTACTTAGCTGCCGCCAAATAAAAAAGCAGCAGTTGCTGCAGCAGCAGCAGCAGTTGCCGCAGCAGCAGCTGCTGCTGCAGCAGCAGCAGCTGCTGCTGCAGCAGCAGCAGCTGCAGCAGCAGCAGCTGAACGGACTAGCCCTGTGTCTTTTGTTTTTTTGTTTTTTCTCTTTGGCGCAAATTAAATCCATTTATTTCTCTGTCTCTTAGTGTCCCCTTTAGTCCCTTTTTGTCTCTTTTTTATTTCTTTTTTATTTTTATTTTATTTTTATTTTTCTTTTTTCCTTTTGCCGCGCTTTCCCTCTTTTGTCTCCTTTCGTTTCTTTTTTCTTTTTCGTCTCCTTTTTGTTTCTTTTTTGTCTCCTTTTTGTCTTTTTTTTGTCCTTTCTTTGTCTCTTTTTGTTTCTTTTTTGTTTCTTTTTTGTTTCTTTTTTGTTTATTTTTTGTTTCTTTTTGTCTCTTTTTGTTTTCTTTTTTGTCTCCTTTTGTTTTCTCCGTTGTCTCTTTTTTGTTTCTTTATTTTCCCTTTTTGTCTCTTTTTTGTTTTCCTTTTTGGCTTCTTTGGAATTCTTAATTGAGTCATTTCTTTTCTTTTATTTTATTTTATTTATTTGTTTTATTAATTCATTTATTTCATTTTATTAATTCATTTATTTCACTATTTCATTAATTCCTTTACTTCATTATCTCATTAATTTCGTTATTTCATTTATTTATTTTAATTCATTTAATTTATTTCTCTCGTGTATTTAATTTATTTGGTTTATTCAGTTTATTCAATTTGTTCAGTTTATTTAATTTAGTTTATTTAATTTAATCAATCTATTCAACTTATTTAATTATTTATTTAATTTATTTAATTATTTAATTTATTTAATTATTTAATTTATTTAATTATTTAATTTATTTGATTTATTTAATTTATTTAATTATTTAATTAATTTAATTTATTTAATTATTTAATTTCTTTTATTTATTTTATTTGTTTGAAGTGGAGCAGCGAACAAAACTTGCTGCTGCTTTGCTGTTTGCTGCTGCCCCCTGAGCACTTGAAGAAGAAAATAAAACTTCGAATTATAAATCAATTATAATTGCCAGTCTTTCTATCCACCTCTAAACCCTAAACCCTAAACCCTAAACCCTAAACCCTTTGTGCTGCCGAAACCCTCGCGCTGCGCAGAGAGCAACAGCTGCCAAGAACTCTTCACAGCAGCAGCTGCTGCTGCTGCAACAGCAGCTGCAGCAGCAGCTGCTGCTTAAGCAGCAGCAGCTGCTGCTGCAGCAGCAGCAGCAGCTTTACACGACAAGCAGCAAAGCAATGGAAAGCGTCTCCTATCCTTGCTGGTCTCAAAAGAGGGCGCGGTGTCGGGGGTGAGGGTTTAGGAAGGGTTTAGGGTTTAGGGTTTAGGGTTTCCGTGGGCTGCGCGGCCGGGAGCCGGAAAAACCCTAAGCCCTAAACCCTAAACCCTAAACCCTAAGCCTCTCGGCCCCGCTCTTAAAAAAGGGTTTTGGCTTGGACCCTAGGGTTTGCGGCTCCGTAGGGTTAGCCGAGTTTTGCAGGGTTAATTAGGGTTTAGGGTTTAGGGTTTGGGCCTTCAGTGGGCGCTTGGGCCCGGCAGCCCCTCTAAACCCTAAACCCTAAACCCTAAACCCTAAACCCTCGGCGTCTCCGCGGGCTTAAAAAAGGGCCTAGGGCGTGGGACTGCGAGGGCCCAGTGCTTGGCGGCGCCCCGGAGGGTCCAGGGCTCCGGGCTGCGCGCAACCCAGGGTTTAGGGTTTAGGGTTTAGGGTTTAGGGTTTGAGTAGACGACTTGGCCCGGGAGCTCGCCGAGGGCCCTGTCTCGCCCCCACTCGGCCCAGCGGCCCAGCAAACCCCCAGCAGCAAAGTGTCCCCAAAGGGCCCCCGCAGCAGCAGCAAAAGGAGACAGAATTATTTTCGTTTTGTAGTCGTAAGTTCGAAAGGCCCGCAGCAGCAGCAGCGGGGCCCCCACCAGCCCCAGCACCAGCCCGTTCTGCGCCACCACCTGCAGCAGCAGCAGCAGCAGCAGCAGCAGCAGCAGCAGCAGCGGCAGCAGCAGCAGCAGCAGCGGCAGCAGCAGCAGCAGCGGTAGCAGCAGCAGCAGCAGCAGCAGCAGCAGCAAGAGGAATTGGCAAATTGTTTAGAACAATTGATTGAAATTGTTTCAAACAATTAATTAAACTTGTTTAAAATAACAAATTTAAATTGCTTTTATATAATTAATTAAAATGTCGAAAATAATAAACATTTAAAACAACCAACAAAAACCATTTCAATTCCCTAACAGTTCCAACAGTCATTTAAATCAATTTAAAGACAAATTTAACTAATTTAAAGAATTAATTCAAAAATAAAACAAAATAAAACTAAAAAATAAAAAAGAAAACAAAAATAAACTAAAAAATAAAAAAGAAAACTGACTTTCTTGCGAATGCTTTCCTGGCGGCGGCGGCAGATGTCGGTTGCGGTGTCTGTACACCCCGCGGTGTACTGTCTGCGCAGCACTTCGCGCATGCATTTTTTGTCCACTTTTGAAAATCGAAAATGAAAAACAAAAGGATAAAAGAATAAACCACTTCTTTCCAGAAGTCTCAGCCGCCGCACTCCCACTTGCTGCTGCTGCTCCAGCAGCGTTATGTCCGACGGCACCTGCGCGCCAAGGGGCTAGGGTTTAGGGTTTAGGGTTTAGGGTTTGGGGTTTGGGGTTTGCGGTTTGGGGTTTGGGGTTTGGGGTTTGGGGTTTGGGGTTTGGGCGGCTTTTAAGGACTCGAAGGAACCAACAACTCATCCCTCAGACTCCATTCACAAGCTGTTGCTGCTGCAGCAACAAGTGGGGTTCTAGAAGCTAGGGTTTAGGGTTTAGGGTTTAGGGTTTAGGGTTTAGGGTTTAGGGTTTAGGCTCTCGCTACAACCGCGTAGAAGCGCTAAATGCTTTATTCATTATTTATTTATTGAGGGAAGCAATAGGAGACACAGGAGACAACTTGCTGCTGCTGCTGCTGCTGCTGCTATCTTTGCTGCTGCTGCTGCTGCTGCTGCTATCTTTGCTGCTTCTGCTGCTGCAGCTCCAGCCTTCCTCGCTGTCCTATCTATCTTTGTTGCAGCTTCTGCTGCTGCTCGCGCTGCTGCTGCTGCTGCCTTTGCTGCCGCTGCCTCCTCGTATTCTCTGCTGCTGCTGCTGCTGCTGCTGCTGCTTCTGTCTCTGCTGCTGCTGCAGTGCGGCGCTGCTGGGGCTTGCTGCTGCTGCTGCTACTGGGACAGCTAACTAGGCAAAAAAGAGAAAATCTGGGGAGACGCCGCAGCAGCAGCAGCAGCAGCAGCTGCTGCTGCTGCTGCTGCTGCTGCTTAACTCACCACCAGCTTTCCCATAGTTATTGAAAGCGAGAGCTAGCGCTGCATGCAGGGGCGGCGGTTGAGGTGTACGTACACCGCGCGGCCCGCGGGTGGGGCCGACGAGGAACGGAGCAAAAGAAAGTTTGAAATTAATTAAAAGAAAGTTCGAAATAAATAAAAAGAGTTATTTATTCTTTTTCTTTTTCCCTTTTCCTTTAAAGGCGGAAGAACGGGCCCGAAGCAGCACACTGCATGCATGCATGCAGCAGCGAGCCCAGAAGCCCCAAAAAAGGGTAAAACTGCGAAAATTCGACAAAAGTTGGAATTAATTTCCGTTTATTTCCTTTATTTTCTTTTATTTCAAATTATCTCGCCAGGAAAAGACGCAGCGCCGCAGCTGCTGCGCCGCCTGGGGTGTACGTACAGCTGGGGTGTACGTACAGCTGGGGTGTACGTACAGCTGGGGTGTACGTACAGCTGCTGTGCGGTGTACGTACAGCTGCTGCGCGCGACTTTTCGCAAAAGAAACAAAACAGCAATTAAGCGCTGCAGCACTTTAAAACTTGACAAGTTCTTCCCTTTATAGGTCCATTTAATTGCACTTTTTCTTTATAACTTTCCTCCTTCACTGCCGCACTCCAAACCCCACAAACCCCACAGCGCGCCTCTCTCCAGGTGTACGTACACCCCAGCCCGGCCCGCTGTCTCTTCTTCCCAAAACGAATGTCCCCTCGAGCTCGAAAGAGCCTCAGGACCCACAATATACAATATACATACATACAATATATATAATATAATATATACAATATATATAATATATATATTATATATATATAGATTATATATATAAAGTACACATCCATACAAAATATAACGTATATAAGTACTACATACATATGTACAGATGTATATATATACGTATGTCCATAGACAACTAGATACATATATATATATATATATATATATATATATATATATATATATA